AGAAAAAAAAATAAGGTGGGGGGAGGGAAGAAATGGTCCTGCCATCTCACCATTAGACACCTACCAGAAAACAAGGCTGCTGCTGCTCAATCACATCTTTAAGGTTTATTCTCACTTGTGGTTCACATTTAAGTTGCTGTCGTTGAGGTTAATGGGAGTTATGTGCTTATGACTATAATGGTTTTGATAAGTGGAAAAGCTGATGTTATTGCACATAAAACACATCGTGTAATGTGCGAATTGTGTTTTGGTTTTGGTTGAAAAATAATAAAGAGAAGGATGGATGTGCATTAGGAAAGAACAGATTTTGCCCTCTAGATACCAAATATAATATAGATCATCATTACAGACATTTTTTTATCTGGCAGCATAAAAAAAAAAGGGTACTGGAGGAATAATGAGTACTTTCATATTTGGCAGATAAGAGGGGAAATTCCTGTGGCTGCAGTGGCCAGAGCAGCACTGTACCTGTACCATTACCATCACCATCTCCTCCTCCCCCACCTTTACAGTCTGGCTTGCTGCACAGATGTAATTTATTCTGCTAATGGGGGCTAAGGTTTACCTGCTGTCCAGCTGCCCCGGGGGCTGAGGCAAGGAAAGGGACTGCAAGTAAAATGACTTTCAGCTGTGCTATTTTTCATTGCTGTTTGCAGGTGGGTTCAAAGTTCATTGAGTGGGAGAACCGAGTCTTCTGCTCTGCCCGGGTACATGCAGAGTGAGAACAAAGGAGAAGGTCCCTCCTGCGTTTCTCCAGTGACTGGGATAGCTGTCGGCATAAATTAAAGCAAGCCCTTAGGGATAATTCTGACAGCCAGCAGTTATGGAGACATCAGCATGTAGGAGATGCGGAGCGGGTGATGACCATTATGCATCATGGAGCAGCCCTCCCGTGCAGAGACCCGACGGCCTTGCCGCACCTCCGTCTGAGACAAGAATGAAGCAGCCAGAGCAGGTGGGAATTGGCCCCTCAGCTTGTCCTATAATGCAGATTTATATCCTACCAAGTGATGGGAAAGCCTAATATGCCCTAAAATATGAATGACTGAATCCTAAGTTTGTGGAAGGTGGTAAATATGCTGATCTCTACATTTTTAAACATGGGGATCTTTTAATATAAAGGAACCTTTGAGCTCGTAATGAATTAGGCATAAAGTGGGCAGAAAGCAAAAGGAACAAATAGGTATGTGCTCAGCACTGAAAGTGCCCCAGTAAAAACTTCCCCTGCCCTTGCTGCTACAAAATTTTTGGAGCAGGATTTATTGAGAATCCTTTCCAAATCATCCTGAGACCCTTGTGCCATTACCTTGATCTGGCTGTTTTCAGTTATGTTAGGGGCATTTCTGATCACAGAATAAATTCCCTCCCTTGCCCTCGATGCTCAGCAGAGAAACATAAACCAGGACCGAAAACCAGAGCCAACCCAAACTAAGTGTGTTTGCAGCATCCCTGCATGTTCAATGGTGGTGCTTAAGGTCGGCCAAATTGAAAGTAAATTCCTCCCTTTGATGTCAATGCTTCTTTACCTACTCTCAATATTAAGGCTGAATGGAGAAATTTTAATTCCTGTTTTTTAAGATTTTTTTTTTTTAAAAAGAATTTTTAAAGAATTTTGTGGCACGAGCTGTAGCATGGCTGGAGGGGTGCGGATGTGTGGCCCCCTCTTCCCGCAGTGCTGCAGGAGGAGGGGGCACCCAGACACCCAGCTCTGCCCGGGCTCAGGGCCACCCGAGGCCGTGAAGCGTACAAGGGGATGTGGAAGGGGAGGTGACGAGCCTTTGGCAGAACTGCAGCACTGCCAGCCCCCCCCCCCGGCAAACTCCGCGAGCGAGGTGACGCACTGCCAGTGCTGAAGTGTCGGGCTAAAATTTATCCTTTTCCTAAACTTCCTCACATATGTCAGTTTATGCAAGAATTTCAAAATTATTTAAGATTCTTTTAAAAGAAACACTTTTTTTTTCTTTTTCTTTTTTTCTCCAAAGAAACAAAACCTTCCATGGCAGGCTATGAAATATGGATTATTTACCTCCAGACTGGGCACAAGTCTGATCCAGTCTTAGAAGTAAAAGTGTATTTAGTCTTTAAGGCATATTGTTTGTCCATGTAAATACATATTTTGGTATACACATTCTTTATAACACAGTCATGTGGACTAAGTGGAGATTTTGGTAGCCATAACATTTATCATTGTTTGTCTAGAATGCTAGCTCTGAAAACGTGCAAAAAAGCAGCTTTTACTGGTGATGGTTTTTAACACTCCTGTATCTTAAAAACAGCATAGTTTCTAAAAAAAATATATATATTGAAAAGTTTAAAAAAAGCTGTCTAGCTATGAAGGACACATTTCCTGCCAAGTTACAAACCCTTGAGAAACTGCATTTGTTCAAGAAGTTGTGAGACATCCTTTAATTCAGTATTAGTATAATATCACGATCAGCAACTGTATAATTGGAGCATCATTGCTTCTATGGACGTCACCGATGCAATGGTAATTGCAGACCTGAGTTATTGCACAAGTAGGAACTTACGGTGTTACAGACTTTGGGGTTTCCAATGTGGACAACAATCTTGATATAAATATTCAGTTATACTGCTTGGAGCTAAGCCATTTATTTTTCACGTTTGAAAGGTGGGAATAAATATAATAATATTTGCCCGACAGATATGAACAGTATGGGTTAATCCTTTGAAGAAGCATAGAACATACCTTCAAACAGTTGCCTAAAGCAAATACACCCCACAAATTACAGGGTGGGTGGATTTCGTAAAATGTGGTTGTGTTCAATTTGCAGCAGTCTGCACCGTCCGTTTTGGAAGAACGCCCCAATAAGTCCCAATCTGTACAATTACCAGTTTACCGCATGGAACAGATTCACCAAGAACCAAGTTTCTTTATTTGATCAACACCGCCTACAGCTCCAATCCTGCAAAAATTAAGGTCATTTGGCTGTATGTACTATGTCTGTTGAATTAATCGGTGCATAAAGTTAAGCACGGCTGTACCTCTTTGTAGGACTGGAGGGCTGAGAGGGCAGAGTCTCATACACAGCCTTCGTGAGACTAACCCTACAGACACCGAGAGCACACGGCAGCGTGTGCGCAGCCCCAGCACGCCTCGCCCTGTGCTTTGCACACACGCACACATACACACATGTCCACTGCTGAACACGCAGGTCTGACTGATATTAAATACCTATTTCATCTAAGGAAATGCCACTGGCACCTAGAAATGTTTGGGGATTTTGTTTGTTTGTTTAATTTTTTGACTTGACAATAATTATGTCCCCCCAAATTTAAGTGGAAATTCAGAGATGGGACTGAGCATCTTGTCCATGTTATCCGGTGGCTCTGTCCGGCACGAATGCAAACAGGCCATACTTCATTTATGGTTTTGTATTTAATAAAGCTGCTGTTCATTCTATTCTGTTGCTGGAAATATCAGGATCCAGATATCAGGAATCACTGAAATGAAACATATCATTGAGACATACAATTTGATCCAGCCACAGGATAGAAACATCTCTCAATTTTGCATGAGACAAGGCATATGAGTTGGGCTATGTGTATCCTTTTTTCCTTTCTTCCAAAAACTGTACTGACATGATACTTTCTGCAGCACCACTGTTTCTAGCAAATGGATTCTAAAATATAGCACTTTAAAGCTGCAATACAAGAGAGATCAGAACATCAGGACTGTGTATAGTATAATTTGAATTGGGTTTATACTATTTCCTTAAAGAATGAATTTTGTCATGTTATTCAAGGTTTTAAAAAATGCCACATTTCTGAAAAGAGTAACTGCTTAGCACATGGCTGTAAATAATACGATAGGAATAGTACGATCTGTCACTGAACATGCGCAGAGTGACCCAGGACATTTTATTGCCATACTTTGGATTCAACATATTTCTGTTTATACCCTGCATCTGAGTGTATCAGTAACTACAACAGATTCACTGCATGCTCTGTGTACACATTAGCATGGGATAGTGTATCTTGGGACTAGCGAAACTCGGAGTCTGCCTTTTCAAAACCTGGGGTATCTGAACTGAATTTGGAACTGCTGAGTATGCAGAGTGCTCAGCTGGTATTGCTCGCTAAGAAAACCTATTGTTAGGAGGAAAAAAGTTATAGTATAATAATTGTGTCGCCTACTGGAGTTCATATACAAAACAGGGGAATAATAATGTCGATAATGGTTTTATTATTCTTGTCATTAATTGCTGCTTTGTAAGCAAGTCAAGATCTATTGGGGTCACCAGGAGATCTTGCATTCAAGGGCTGTTGGCCAAACTCATGCCGCAGCAGTTTTCACAGATGGCATTTTTAAATTCAGCTGTAAACTGTGAGCAATGTTTTGTGTTAATGCTGTCCGGGGGTTTTTTTAAAAAAAAAAAAAAAAAAAAAAAAAGTTAGTAGCATTACATGCTATTTTGAAACTTGATCCTTCACTGAGTGAAATGAGAGTATTATCTTGATAGACTGCAGTACTAAGAAATTGTGTGTGAGGACTTAACTGCTGTGGTAAGATATTTGTACAGTGTTAGTATATTGGTAATGAAGTCCTGTCTGTAAAGATGATTTTATCATGGACGGCAACATGCACTTCAGTACAGTTATTGGAGCAACCTTGTTTTAATATATATATGTATTTTATATATATATGTATATATATAAAATTCTGCTTGATACTTCATGTATTTTCAGATATCTAGTATTTAAAAGCATCCTTTATCATTGCTAAATTAGCCAAACCAGTAAAAAATTAAGTGCAAGAAAAATACCAATTCACATAGTTTTTGCCAGTAATACAAAAGGGACTATTCAGCTTCTCACATTTACAGCCATTTAGGAATTTTGATTTAGAATGACTAAGGGAAACATTCCTACATTCAGAAGATGTCTCAAAATAATTTGCGTTCTCTTTTGTAATGGGAAAACTAGTTTTTACAGAGATCACCTACTGGTTAGTGGTGGTAGATGGAAAACATAAAAAGGAGTTGGTGCTATCCTTGACTAATTGCCTAAAAACCTAAGTCTGCAGCAGGTCGATGACCCCCTGGAGATGGGAGAGGAGGTTTTCCTTTTAGCCAATAGCACCTTTGTCCTCAACTAGAGACTCCTTATGCTCAAAAGGATGCCTTAGCATTTCCCAAAACACATTCCAGATTTGTTGGAGAGGAAGAGGAAAGTAGTGTTTTATGAAGGCACACCCATGCTGAATTTGCAGGAAAAAGGAAAGAAAACAGAAAGCAGTACTGCACAATGCAGTTATAATACAAGGCTCATTCTTGAAACCTGAATATCATGCTAGAAGAAAATCTAGATATGTGTAATATTTTGAAGAAATACTTTGAAGGCAATATTATTTGATTTTTTTTTATCAAAAAAGAAAAATGTTTCTGTGTAAATGTGGATAGAATGCTATTTATGAAGGGAACTGAATATTTGTATTGCAGCCTTAAAGAAGCACATTTTTACTGCAATATTTTTTTTTTGTAAACTACGGTCTGCAACTCAGCAGACCATGACTGAATGCTTTTGAAAACTTGTAGATTACAAACATGAAATCACAATTAATATCCTCTAAAAGTAATTTCAGAGCTTTCACGTCTTAAAAAAAGGACAATGTGTACTGCTTCACAAGGTAATGCAGCTAATCAAAAAAGGAGTAGAATTAAAGTATTTACATAATGAGCAATTCTACAGAAGGCGATCATCCCCATGTAAGCACTGCTGATTATATCCCACGCTGCTTTTAACAAACTCTACCAGATTGGATCCAGTCATCAGCACTTTCAGAGAATCCTTAAAAGCCTTTTATGGGTCTTTACATTTAGTGCAGAATGATGTTCTTCAGGTAGAATATGCTGGTGAGGGAGGACAGTGTCAACACAAGGTACCAGCAGGAGAAGAGGACTTCAGCGTCACCGGTGATCCCATACTGGGCTGTACTGGGAGCTGCAAAGAAAAGAAAAAGGGCTTAAGTGAAAATTTCCACTCTTAGACCCTCAAATTCTTAGTTTTCATTAATTCTTCTAAGATAACTCTTAGAGCAGCAAAAGCATTCTTCTGAAAACTGGAGAAAATGCTGCAAAAGTAACCAAGCCCTCCTGCTACACTGCTCAGTGAATATTACTTTCTGTTTTAGAGAGGATAAATCATCATTAAGGCAAGCATTTAAAAATGTGAGTACTTAACATCAGATGAGCGCTTCATGGTTAAACATCTGAATAATTTATCTGAGCATTAAGATCTCCACTGAAATCAATGAGAGGTGAATATATTTGGCTCCGTTGGAAAACAACTTTCTGCCTAACTTTAGAAGTCCAAGTTTGACAATTTTGCTTAGCCAGAGACATTCATATTTATTTTCACTCTCTGAAGAAATTGTATTTACTTGCTTTAATACAAAGTCTTTCTCAAATTCCTAAGTAAATATTACAGTAAGTGCATGCAAAGAGAGCTAAAATACAAGAAAACAGTGTCGAGAAACAAGTGAGGAGACAATCGTGTGCAGCAGTGGCGAGCGGGCTGTCTGCAGGCTACCCTGCCTGCGGCACGGGAACGCACTGGGGCACAAACCGACGATTCGGGTCTTGTAGAGCCACAGGCAGGAGGAAGGAAAAGGACCTGTTACCTCACCCTGCGCTGAGCTGAAGCTAGCAGGATGATGCTATTGGAATGTTTGGCTGCTAATTAAGCACTGCAGGCTCACTTTGGCTGGCAGCTTTGTGTAAAAAAATTCTCTCAAATCAAATGTTTTTCTTTTAGAACGTGCATGAGACCCCGACCTCTTATAGTCGTACGCAGCATCCTGTGCTCTTTGGTTGAACACTGGTATCAAAGGTTTTGCTTTCCGGACTAGACGAATATGCTATTGATTATTCTAAAACATAAAATCTATGCAAGTCTTGTATCGAGTGCTGTTTCTACAAGCAGGCATCGCTTATGTCAATGGCGCTTTATTTAGATACAAGTTGCAGAATTTGCTTTTTTGACTAGACAATGTCTGCCAGAAACATGGATGGAGATTAGCTGGTGGATGCTGAGCAAGACTGAGCCAGCTTGGTGCCCGCATCCTGGTGCTCAAGGCTGTCTCCTTGCAGAGGACAGAGGTGTTGGAAAGGCAGGAGGGGAAGCTCATTCCTGATGATCCTTCTTGAGCTGGGGATGCTCAACCCAAAGTCTGCACTGCAAAAGGGAGAAACCACTAATGTTGCTACTGTGAAAAACACAGGAGCCATGTGTGAACGAAGAGGAGAGGTTGCCTGGGAGCCTCGGGTTGGTGTGGGGGTGGATACCATGTGGAGGATCCTGCCTCTTCTGCAGGGTCTCTGCTTCCACCCCGTTACACTGCTGTCCTGAGGTGTCCTCAAGGCATGGGGCTATCTGGACCAAGAACACCAAGAGATGGTCTGAAGACGAGACTTCAGCCAACAGCTCTACTCCGCAGGTACGGGAGATGGCTACACAGAACAGGTACCAACAGTGCAGAAGACAGTTTTCGTGGGACCAAGCCAAAGCTTGTCCCACCGCCTTGCCCAGGAATGAGCTGTCTCCGACAGCACTGCTGCCCCTCACCGGTGCCAAGTCCACCTCTGGCAGGGGAGACACCAGGATACGGCGCATGCCGTGCTTTGGAGTAAGCAAAATTCACCAAATCCCCACGTGCTTCCCTTTTGGGCAGAGAAGAGGAGAAGTAAAGCATCCCTGATGGCAGGCGTGAGCTGTGCTGCCGGGGTGTCCAGGAGGGTTGCGTGGTGCGGGCAGGATGGAGTCCAGGGAGCAGAGCAGGATCTCGCTCCGTGGGGTTGGTACCCAGCATTTGGCCCGCACGGGAAGCCCCCCCCTGCCCTGAGATGAACGATGCCAATAAAGCAACAGAGGGGATTTCACTACAATCACAGCCTGTCTGGAGGAGTAGGAGAGACTGCAGCAATCACCCAAGAAATTAAAGTAAACCTGGGGGTTTCACCAAATCCTGTTTGCTTTTGTAAGACGCAGTCTCCTGAATTTCAAGTTTTGTTCAGTCCAAATACTGAAACATAAACATCCCTTTTCTTTCTGTACAGAAATCTGTGCTATGTGCTACCAGGTCCATTTTCAATGTATGACATTTTGTTTGGTGCAGAGTGTGTGATAAAACCCCAAATCATTCATTTCCCCCCCTGCAGAAAGGTTCAGCTAATGAAAAAAAAATTACAAGATGAAGCTTGATTTTGAAGCTTAGTTTAGTGACTTATAACCATGACTAACTGCAGGACAGGGCGCTCTCTTCTCATTAAAAAGGAACTTTCTGTGGTAAGTTGGTATGACAAATCAACATTTAATTTATTACAAAAAACAGGCTAGCAAGCTGAAGCATAGCGTAGGTGGCATTCCATTTTGTCATATTAAAAGAATTTCCCCAACGTAAAGATAATTTGAACTATGGTGGCTATAAAAGCGAGTGGAAAATTATGTAAATCTGATTTCCTGCATATGAACCAGTACTATCTTTCTAAAGCTTATTAAATCATATCTGGATTGTTTCAGCACAAAGGTACTAGGTGAATTAATGGGGGAAAATACATAGACTTGGGTAGATAATAGAAAAGAGTTATGGTTCCCAAAGCTGGCTAACCAGAAGAATTTGATGTGAAAGAAACCTGAAGGAGAAGCAAATCCAGAGAAGTTTAAGCCACTGGACTCTGCTGGGTTTGAATAAAATGCCCTGGGGGCTGAGTTCCCGTGGTACAGGGAGGTGCAGGATGCCAAACAAGTGCAGAGGCTGGTTTTGCTGGTCCATGGGCCATATCCCTGATCCCACCCTGTCCCACACCTCCCCCACTGTGGAGCAAGGGTTTTGGTGCTATGTCTGTGTCTGATAAACAAGATTTTCATTTAATAAGCTCCTGAGTTTCTTTAAACTGGTCTTTGGCATTACAATAATGAATGAAATCCAGCTGTGCTGCATGGCTCCCAGGTTCACTGGGACTGATGCTCTGAAAGATCTTGAGCCGAAATTTAAAATTATTCTCCAGGCCCTCTACTACCTGTTCCATTTCCTCAGATTTCTTTAAAAAGGGCAAACCAGTGCGAGCCTGCTGCCATTGGGGTCTGCTGATTAATGTCTGCTGGGTATAGTTTCACTTAGTGAGACCTGCAGTGGCATTTGCTATAGAAAACCAAAATAAACCTGAAGCTATTCACATTTGCGTCCACATGGCCCCAAGAGTCGCCCCGAACAAGGAAATTGCTGTCATTGTGGAAATGTCCCCAAAATCTATGGCATGCCAACAGGCAAACTGATCAGAAGTTGGCTTTAAAGGGCTTTTTTGGAACTGTATGCTGCAGGTTTAAAAAGACACACTGATTTAATTCAAAGAGGAACTGGTAGCTGGAAAACATTTGCCATATGCCTGCACAGGACCAGCAGTTCAGCGTGTGCATCATAGTGCGCTTCTTCAACCCTCAAATTCATCCGGCGGTGGAAAAAGCCTGACTGTTTTGGGGGTTGTTTTAATAGTCTCCTTTTACAATTAGCAGCCCGAATTAGAGCACCCTTTGGGAAGCTCGGCTGGCAGAGATGGGCAGGACGCTGCCTGTGCTTTTAGCTGGGGAACACCCGGTTGTCTCAGGTACGATGGATGGTGACTTAATGATTGGGAAAGGCTTGCCAGATCATTATGCCTCCTAACTCCAATCTGACTTCTGGAAATCTCCAAGTGTTTCTAGTCTCCAAAGTGAATTTATAAGCAGATGTCCCTCCTTCACTGTTAGTGGCAAATGGGTTGCATCAATTACAATGTCACGGTAAGTCTACTGGATGGCATACAGTTTAAAATGTTGTGCTTGGCTCTTAAAAATTCTTAAAAATTAATAAGCTTTCATAGGTTTTTTTTTTGATGGTTCTCTATATCAGACTAAAAACCTTAGCTTAGGAATGAATGAAAAGGTTTAAATGTTTGAAAATAGCATAAAACTCACAGCTTCTTTTTTCTTCCCTACTAAGATCTTAGCATTGAATGTCATTGTTTTATACAGACACACACACTTGCACTTGCAGTCTTAATATTGGTACAGCAAGATAATGGTGGAGGTATGTATGATTAGGCATTAAATAAAAGCATGAATTATTTGACTCTGTGATTACATCTGCAGCTATCCTGGGCATTTCCATAATACCTATCACCACCATTATAATGAGGCATGCTGTTTATAACTGATTTTACAGCATGTGAAGCTTTTGGTACACGGAGAGGGGAAGGAGAACAGCAGTTGGGCCACAGAGAGGTATTTATCTGGCTAAAGATTCTCCTCCAGAACAATGTCTCGGTAACTGTCTGAAATGGAAACCAAGGTCAAATCATTTGGCTCCCCTTGTGCTGATCTGGCAGTGCAAATTCAGTTCAGAGCCATGGTAGGGATACCTTAAAAGAGTGAATTTCCATCTAGAAGAAGATTAAAATGAGCTTCATGAAAAGTCTGATGTTTGAAATATAAAATGACCTAGGACTTAGAAGATGCAATAGGTTTAAAATATATCAGCTTCAGTCATTGAGGGATAATAATTTACTTTCTTGCTAGTGGAGAAGTTGTTAAATTTTCCTCAGAGCCCGACAAGCAGCGTCCCGTCTGGCAGGGCAGCGGCAGGGTGTCCGGCTGAGCCGCGCTCATGGCAGCGTCGCGGCAGAGCGGCGAAGGGACCCGGCGGGGTTCGGCAGGTCCCTGGGCATGCCCTCTCCATGCAGATGGTCCTTCCCCCGGGAGCTCTGCAGGGAGCCCTGTGCTCCTTGGGATTTGCAATCAACACCTGCCTGCTGAGAGTAACCCTCAATGTTGGCACACAGCAGTAGGTCACAGAAGTGGGATGTGTGTGCATGTATTGCACCGTGTCCTCATAAGCGTTATCAGGCTTGTCTAATCTCCCTTAATACATCAAAACTATCTGTAGATCTGTGCGAGTGGGTGCTCTT